TGCACCCCCTTGTGGTCTTTGTGCACAGTCTTGTTGTAGTTAAGCCTTGATTGTTGTAGGTATCACTGGGAGGAACTGACCTCCAGGCCAATTGGCTGTGAGAATCAGCTGTGTCTGCAGTGGGAGAACTTTTGTGCTGGAGACACCCTACTGGGGCAAGACTTGCTTCAATGGGGCTTTGGTGCTCACTGAGTCTGCACCCTGTGTGTGTCCTTTATGGTTCCACGAAGCAGCAAACTGGATGGTCCCACTCTGATCTCTGGGTATACTGGCTCCTGGATCTCTAGGGAGGTGCTAATCTAGCCTCTGCCTTACACTATGCAGCAAAAGCCTCCCTGCAGGGCTTGGGCAGGGCAGGTCCCATGGGATCAACAGGGCGGGGCTAGCAGTTATGGCTGCTCTCAGTCCTGCCCTCAGAGGCTGCTCTTCTCAATGTCCCGGTAATCACTGCAAGCACCTCCAAGAGAAAGCTGCCCTCGAGTTCCGACCGATGCCAGCTGTACCTTAGTATTTTACTTCCGCACTGCGCCTCCTCTGAGTCTCGGTATGCTTTTCTCTTTCCTTCTAGTTGTGGAATTTCCACTCAGCCAGCCTTCCTGTGGTTCTGGATGATGTCCATTCCGTCTTTTAGTTGTATTTTTGAAGTGGTTGTTCGAGGCAGCAAACTCCGGTGTTTACCTATGCTGTCATCTTGGTTTCTTCCCAATTTGTACTTGTTAAGACCTTCACCTTTTCAACCCTCTTCCCCTCTGGCAACCAAGTATCAGTCTTTTATAATAACCTATTTCTTAACATGGTTTTCACTTTTAGTTAAACTTTCTTTTTCTCACTCTCAGTTAACTTTGGAATAAATATGGAGTCCTCACACCCTCCCCCCTCCTAGATTTTTAAAATGAAAGTTATAACAAACAAAGACTTTATAACCAGTTGGCACACTATTGCTCTATTTTCTGCAGATCTTAGAATAGTTGGAAAATTCCACCACGTTATTCAGTGTTGTCATGCTTTTTCAAGGCTGCTACTCTTTGGGTATAAGAGTCTATCTAATCTCACCTCATGTGCTATGTTCAGGAGTTGAACAGGGAGACCATCTGAGAGGGAACTGTCAGAACCACTGGTGCTGGTTTCAAAAGGAGAGAAGAAAGGGAAAAACCCGTTATTCATGTCTGCAAGTATACCATTCACCAGGCCATCTGCATGGGGTTAGGATATCTAGTCCACTATTTGCCCACACTGTCTGTGTTTTAATTGCTAAGAATTCTTGACAAGCATATCCATTCATTCATTCATTCATTCATTCATTCTGAATGCTCATTGCATGCCAGGTAGTGCATCAGGCACAGGAAACAGAGATGGACACGGTAGAGCTCCTGCCCCAAGGAGTTCGCAATCTGTGTAGCAAAAAAACATAAAACAAAACAAAAATAAAAACACCAACCTGCCCTGGCCAGTGTGGCTTAGTTGGTTGGGCATTGTCCCATGCACCAAAAGGTCGCAGGTTTGAGTTCTGGTCAGGGCACATGCGAGGGTTGCCGGCTCAATTCCTGGTTGGGGGCTCAATTTCCGATTGGGGGCATGCAGGAGGCAGCCAACCAATTTTACTCTCACATCAATGGTTCTCTCCCTCTCCCTTCCTCTCTCTAAAAATTAATTTTAAAAATCTTTAAAAAAAATACCAACCAGCCAGATGGGCAGAGCTGCCCTTGGCAGCAACTGTGAGAAGCTGCAGGATTCTCAATGTGCAGCCCTAGAGAATGCCAGGGAATTGTAATTTGTTTGGAAGCAGGGACTCTGTCTCATTCATTCCTGTCTGGCCAGTACCAGTTCAGAGAGCCATGATCCTACCAGGTCTTCTTTAAGAATATGGTCAATATATAAATAAATATATTTAATACAAAGAATCTGTAGGTCAGAGACTAGGAATATTATTTTCATCACCCCAATTCACCTTTCAAAAGTTCTGGATGCATGTCTAGACTGATCACAAGTCCTCCCTCACGAACTGTCCCCGCCCCCAGTCTTCAAGGGCTAGGATGAGTGAGTCCTCAGATAATGAGCCCTTTCTTCCTTTATCATGTGTCACATTATCTTTTCCCCTTTCCTGGAGAATGGCTGGCTAGAATTGAGAGCTATGCTCTGCAACACGAGCTCCATATAAAAAAATGTCTTCGGCACAAAACTCAAATCTGGGTAAAGACAGCATGTCAAACCATGCTTTTGCTCAGCCCTTTCATTCTGTTCTTGCTCCCCCACCCTCCCGCCAGTGCACAAGGAGGAGCCCTACAGACCACCGCGGGAAGAAAGCCTCCTCTTTGATCTAACTCCCAATTCCACAGCCTTTGAGGCCACTAGATAACAGTCTCTGAGGTGCCTTTCAGAGGCAATGGAGAGCGTTAACAAATGGGATAAGAGCATTAGATGTAGTATGTATGGCCCAGAAATGCTCAAAACCAGTGTGTTCACACCCAGACAGAGCAAACTCCAACTGAGCTTGTACACTCAGTCTGCTTCTCTGTGTAATGGTGAGAATGGAAAGGGGGTTCCTGATGCAGAGGCTGGCAAACCGGTTTCCACAATTCCTAACTGAATGTGTCGGCATTTCCAGCTGAGCGTCTGGCTGTTTCTGAGTTGAGTCCCCTGGGCTCTGTTGTATGAGTTGATATGCAGGGGACATTTAGTTTTTGAGGGTGAGAGTGGGGTTGGTGCACTTATCCTGGGGAGTTAGGCAAAGGATTCTGGGAGAATGGAAGAGGAGACCTGGTGAATGGGGTGCGTCACTGGGCCTGATGGTCTGGCTTAAGGTTCCTAAGGAGGCATCTAGGAGTCTCAGCCAGCAGAACTGCTTTAGGGTCAGATGTCGATGTGCCACAGGGAGTGTGGGAGAGCCATCCGCTTTCCACTGTCCACACAGACTACAGTGCAGCCCCTGGCAGACGACCTCCATGCCTAGCCCAGAAACCTTCTGACTGAGGGCAGCTGGTGCAGGCTTGAGGCACCTTGGCCAGAAGCTGGAGAAGCTGGTGTTCTTGCACACACGTGAGATACCCACCCACCTATAGCTGTGGAGACTATGAGGGTGGGGCTGAGATCTATGTACTAAATTAATTCAACAAGTATTTACTGAGCTCTCCCATGTGCCAGGTACTGTTGTAGAGATGCATGAGATATAGAAGTGAACAAAATAAAGATCGCTGGCCTTGTGAAACCTACATCCTTATAGGGAAAAAAAGAAAGATAACATAAGAGACACAGTACAGTTGTAAATGATACAGAATGACAGAGGTGATAAAATGCTATAGGTCAGAGACTAGGAATATTACTTTCCTGGGTGCTCTGAAAAAGTCCGAACACCTAAGGCGGGTGGGCAATGGCAGGAGGGTGAAGGCAGGGGAGCAAGTTGCAATATTAGTGTAAGGAAGGTAGGCCAAGTTAAAAAATTACATTGAAGCCTGGCTGGTTGAGCATTGACCTATGAACCAGGAGGTCACAGTTCGATTCCCAGTCAAGACACATGCATAGTTGTCAAAGGAATGAAGTGTATTTAAGTGTGCCATGATTTATTTAATATTTTGCACCTGAGGTTCAAAACCAACAACAGAGCAGAGTAAAACTTTTCTGGTTTTTCTTTGAAATGAAGTTTGTTACCTGGATTCGATGTCAGAGAAAGAGATGTCATTCCAACTTCTTTCTAAATCCGTATCTTGTCCAAGTTCATTGAATTTCTTATAAATTTCCTTTTGTAAGAGCTCTTTAAGCTCTACTAGACACTGCATGAACTGTGGAAATGAAGAAGGAACTATTTTTGATTATTTATTTATTTACTCATCAAATATTACTAAGTATATGCTAAAAGGCACTTTATTGCTGGGGACATAAAGATGAGTAAGCTGTGCCCTGGTGGGGTGTGGAGGTAGGGAGGGCTAAGTTGGTTGGAGTGTCGTCCATACACCCAAAGGTTAAGGGTTCAATCCCCAGTGTGGGCATGTTCGGGAGGGAACTGATGTTTTTCTCTCACGTTGACACCTCTCTCTCTCTCTCTCTCTCTCTCTCTCTCTCTCTCTCTCTCTCTCCTCTCCTATCCCCCTTCCTTTCTCTTTAAAATCAATAAAAACATATCCTCAAGTGAGGATTAAAATTTTTTTTTATTTAAAAAAAAAAAGGATGAGTAAGCTGTAATGTCTGCTACTAAGGACATGTTAACAGATAGCTACATGAGCTGTGGGAACACAAAGAAGCGCTGCCAAGTAGCCCAAAAAAAGAAGGAACTCTTCCTTTTTGCAACAGCATGGATGGACCTGGAGATTATTATACTAAGCAAAATAAGCCACTCAGGGAAGGACAAATACCATATAATCTCACTTATATGTGAAATCTAATGAACAAAATAAACTGATGAATAAAATAGAAACAGGCATGGATACATGGAACAGACTGACAAATGTCAGAGGGGAGGTGAATGGGGTGGACTGGATGAAAGAAGGTGGAAGGATTAGACAAAGAACATATATGCATAGGCCATGCACACAGACAACAATGTGGTGAGGGCCAGAGGGAGGGGAGGGCAGGGTCTGGGTGGAGGTGGGCACAAAGGGGGGAAATCTATAATAATGTCAACAATCAAAATAAAATATTTAAAAAAAAGAAGTGTTTTGGGGGCAGAACACCAAAGAGCACTGCTTTAGCCACTTTTTCCTGCCCATAGCCAATTATAAACTTCTTAACCCAAAGGCCTGATTAATTTAATTTAATTTAATTATTATTTTTTAAAATATATTTTATTGATTTTTCTACAGAAAGGAAGGGAGAGGGATAGAGAGTTAGAAACATCAATGAGACAGAAACATCGATCAGCTGCCTCCTGCACACCCCCTTACTGGGGATGTGCCCACATCCAAGGTACATGCCCTTGACCGGAATCGAACCTGGGACCCTTCAGTCCACAGGCCAATGCTCTATCCACTGAGCCAAACCGGTTAGGGCTACTTTTATTTTTGAGTAGTAAGGAAGGAAGTTAGAATGGGATTGTTCAGATTTTGGCCTATGGCAACTATGATTTAACGGGCCACATTGTGGTCAAATTCTCCTTTAAATATATTTGTTTAAACAGTTGCATCCAGCCCGGCCAGTGTGGCTCAGTGCTTGAGCACTGACCTATGAACTACGAGGTTCAATGCCCAATCAGGGCACATGTCTGAGTTACAAGCTCGATTCCCAGTGGGGGGCATGCAGGAGGCAGCTAATCAATGATTCTCTCTCATCATTGACGTTTCTGTCTCTCCCTCTTCCTTCCTCTCTCTGAAAGCAATAAAAACATATTTAAAAAAACCAAAACAGTTGCATCCAGAGTGGTGCATATCAGGTGTTCCCAGGGCTGACAAGTCAGATGGGGTCTGAGAGAGGAGGTTGTAGGGATGCTTAGCAGGTGCACAAAGGGCAGGGTTAGTTTTGGAGAAGAGAAAGGACAGCAGGTTTCTGAAATGGGAGAAAGGGAATCAAGAATGAGTGCTCTCATGGGTATGCCTGGACGTGAGGGAGAGGAGTGCTGAAGGGAAGCTGGAACAATGGCTTCTATCATCTTGGTGAATTGAGGTCTTACCATTTGCCGAGAGTGTGTAGGCTGGGCCTTTCTTATTTTCTTTGATCATAAAAGCTTCAGAAAAATACTAAGAGGAAATAAAAATCACCTGAAATCGCACTGAGCTGACTGTGGGCCCATGGGAAACTGATCACAGTAGTGGCATCACCACACTTCTTGAAGCCCCATTTTTACCTTGGTTCGGTCAGGATCACAGAAATCCAGGAGGGTGTCGCAGACGTGGTAGCCTAGGGACTTCAGATCCTCAGTGGTAAAATGAGTGTCTCTTTTATTGCCTGGAAAAACCCCATAAACATTTCTCATGAAATCTTAATGAGCAAATAAATGCAGATATAATTTACGAATCTCTCATTAAAGACACCACCTCTTATTCTAGAACATTGTGCTTCTGGACAGGGTTTCTCCCCTAGCTTCAGGTTGGTTCAGAAGAATCTTTGACAATGAAAATGTTTACAACCATGATGGCTGTAATTGTGAAGCTGTAATTACAATGATAACGTTTTACTCGGTAGCAGGCACTCTGCCAAGTGCTTTCCATGCACTAGCTCATTCAGTAGTACCCATAATGCAGGCACTACTACTGATGTTCACAGAGAAGATGAGGTTCAAAGAATTAGGTAACTTCCTCAGGATCACACAACTCGTAAATGGAGCTGAAATTCAAACCTAGATTTGCCCAGTTCCAGGCCCTTAGCCACTACACTATATTGCCCCATCAAATACTGTATTTCACACTCATATCCTGGGTGCTCAAATTTGGCTTAAGGCGCAGACAAGAAAAGCCTCTAGATCAACTCTCCTCTCAACCTGTTTAAGGATTTCATCTCCCCAGGGCTTCACGTGGCTCCCCTGGCCATGCTGGCCCACGGTCTACAGAAGTGAGCTCACCCAGGGTGGACCCGCCAAAGGTAGACTCCATGGTGTAGCTGTTCAGGATTCCCATCCGCCACATCACGACTCGTCCTGTTCCTTCTTTGCACTTTTGGACCTTAAAATTACAACTATGAAAAGAGAACTGAAGAGAAATCCAAATCCTCTGTTAATCATAGACTGGCAAATGTAAGATATAGAAGATTCATTGATATGCTACAAGAATGTTTCTCTTGGGAATCTATATATTCCTAAAGTGTGTCCCCTACAATACTGGTTCCTAGGGATGCTAATAGGTATTAGGGAGGAAAACATGAGTTCTATGGTCATGTTCACCAGGGAGATAAAGGGCTAAGAAAATGGCGCAGGCTTCCGCTGCAGCACCTCTCAGGCTGTTTAATATGCTATTGTGGACCGTGATCCTCCAACGGCGAGAGAGCATGTTGCTTTTCATTGCCCATGAACACTTCCTTCCCCTCCCCATCTTCTCCAGGGGCATTCTGCAGGACTCGGGTTCCTTGAATGTCTGTTTGGGAATGCTGGCTTTCTTTGGCATTTAAGGCTAGTAGCCAACCTTTCTAAGACTTATTTTCTACCCCTCTCCAATTTGAACCCTTCAATATGGTTGGGTTGATGATCCTCTCCATGTGATTTGTGTATGCCTCAGCCCTACACTACAGTCTCTGCCTGGAACGCTCGCACTCCCTTATGCCAATGTTCTCAGGTCGAAGTTCAGTTTCTTCCATTGTCTTTCATGACCATGCCAATGGTCTTTCCTCTCTTGAAGTTTGTAACGTACACTTGGCACCTATCCCAACCTATCCTAGCCTGTCCCGCTGAAAACGCTTTACATTTGGGAGATATCTCACTACCTTGTGGTTTCTAACTTGTGCTCTATAGAATCCAGGGGTTCTAATGAGGAGCCAT